ATTGGACGCTCTTCTGTAAAAATATGGATTTTATAGGAACCCAACCTGGTTATATATATCTGCATTTTTATTATGGTTTATTATATACTACATACTTTGTTACATTTTCAAAAGACTAGTCCTGACAAAGACCTACTAATTCTGTTTTACATTTTGGTAAGTGTGGTTTGATTTTATTTACTAAGAGACAGTTGTTTCCATAACAAGCTCCCTCGCATTGTTTTCAGGATCCCTTGAAAAATGGGGTTTTGGGCGTTCAAACAATCCGCAACAATATCATGGCATCCACTCTTCTTGCTACAACAGCAATCACACTTAGTTCACTTATTGGCGTTTTTGCAAACAATGACTCAGACACCAAATTAGTTTATGGCAACAAAACTTCCCTTAATTCTTCAATCAAACGCCTCTCCATCTCACTATGCTTCCTAGTTGCATTTCTATGTAATGTGCAGTCCATTAGATACTATGCACATGTGAGCTTCTTGATCACCACACCTGCACTGAAGGGCAAAAAGGATTTCATTGAATATGTTGCAAAACACTTAAACCGTGGTAGTTATTCTTGGTCTCTTGGCTTGAGGGCATTCTACTTGTCATTTCCTCTTGTTCTATGGATTTATGGGCCCATACCCATGTTTGCTTGTTGCTGCTTGACATCATTTATTTTGTACTTCTTGGACACAACCACTCAAATCACACGGGATCTTCACACTAAGTCATTCAATAAGAGGGAAACTGAGGACACAGAAGCAGCAGCATAGTTCCATCATTCTAACTGTTCTTGAACTTGACAACTGTTATCTTTAGCTTGTAGTAAAGATCAATTGTAGATTTTCTATGATCATCTCTGTAATGAAATTATTGTTGGTGAATTATTGTATAATATCTACAGTTTAAAGACTATGCACCGATAATGTAAAATACTTTTACACCTTTAATCAATTACAATATGACTTTTTAGTTATATACTGTAAAAGTCAAGATCATTGTACATGATAGTTTGTGATTGAATAAAAGTATAAAACTATTTTACAATCTCAGCGATATCTATTTGTTGAAAAGTATTTGTAGTATCTTGAAGTAATATTCTTTTCCCTGTTTTTGAAGGGAAAAGTCTATTTTGGGGGTGTTGGGGAAGTTTGTTAGTTCTGAACCTTATGCTTAATTGGTGAATAAAGGACATGAACTTTATTAGTGCCACTAGCATGTAGTAGTGGACGGTGCTCGTTCCCCTGTAATACAGTTACTATTGTCTTGAATATGATTCCAAAAATGTCCTTTCATTGCATGGACAAATAGATATGGATGGCATATCTTGAAAGACCAGATCAGTCTTCAATATTCAACTGGTTTATACATGCTAAGTCATGTCAGGAGCCATGGAATGAACATAGCAAGTTCTCATATGTGCAAGGGACGTCAATGATTGGAGGAAGTAATAATTGAACCATTTTATCTTGTTTGATTGGCTTCTATACGAATCAATTAATTTGTGAGTACGATGGGACATGCATAACAGAACAAACAGTATTACATGACCATGAGACTATGGCAAAAAAAAATCTGTTACCAGCATTGGTAGTGGGAGTTTCAACATAAAGCTAAAAAATTGCTAACCTATCAGATACCCTTATCAACCCGCCAGAGTTCTTAATGTGCTTTTAGGGACTCCTTCAACATCTAAAAACTTTCCTTATTTTTTCTCTAATGGAAAAACTTAAGCTCTTAACTCATTTTTGAAGATTTTTATATAAGAACAATGTTTATACCGTGTCGTCCATGTCAGAATATTCCAATGTTAAAATTTGCAAGAAATAGTTGTGTATAACACTTTCATAAAAACTCCTATTTAAAATGAAATAACTCTAAGAATTTAATTATCATAGTCAACATAATTTTCTTTTACACCGTCGTCATTTTATAAATATTTTAAGAACTACACTCTTTTCAAGTCTTTTTATAAAACCTAATTACCTAAATTATCATAATTAATTTAAAAAATAATTGGTAATATTAAATTTGTCATAATTTTTTTCTTCAAAATTACTCATAATATTAATGAGATACTTATCAATTATTTTTTAAATTAAGAAAAATCACTTTAATTAAGAATTTTATTGTGAATAATAATTAAGGAAAAAGATATTTTAGGTCGGTTCTAATAAAAATAACTAATTTTTAGACGTTAGATCTTATATAAGGTGAGTGTCTAATTTTAAACTTTTCAAATATTTCTCTTAAGAAAAAAGTATCGAATGTATACATACAATTTTTGGTTTTTCCAGAATGCAACCGAGTTAAATACTAATTTTACTGTTTATACTGATAATAGTGAAGTATTCAAGTTAAGTAAGATTATTTTTCATAAAAGATAGGTGTGATCTCTAAAAGAAAGTATTTTAAATTAAATTATAGAAATGTATATATAGTAGAAAGAAAGCAGTATTGTGGGAAATATATTGTTTTGATAAGGATTGAATAAGTAGTTTACCTGGATCTATCAACTTGCAGGATTGAAGACAGATGCACATGATAATGGGCCACCTATGTTCCTCCCACCAAATCCGTAGCTGAAAAGTTGCAAATTCCCTAATAACATATATACTTTCTTTTCTACTCATACAAAACCCTCTACTCTTCTTCTCAACCACCATTGCTTTTCACTTTTTATTCAGCAGTTATTATTCTCATTCAATCACTCATGATTCATTTTTGCAAATACACACACACTCTCTCTATACAACTGATACTTTTTGAATTTTTTAATATAAGAATTTATAGTTCTTTTTCATCATGTCATTTTTATAAAGATAAAGTGATATCTTTAATTATAACTTTATATTTAAAGTAGAATTATCTATTTTCTGATAGACATTCATTCACATTAATTATGCCAATAAACACATGAAACAATATGTATGAGGTTATTTGGTTTAATTAGTGATTTTTAATTCAAATTCTAGATATACATCTGTATTAAATACTTAGAAAAAGAGTCTTGTTCCCTAAAATAATCTTATTTGGTTAAATAAAATTGTTCTTGATAATAAATTAATTTATTAAAAACATTTTTTCATGTAAAATATAACGTTATTATTTATGAAAGAAATATCTGTGTAATCGTCCTTCCCCCTTTACTTTTTATGTTACTGTACTTTGGAGATTATCATTTTCCTTTTTTTATTCTATGTTGATTGACCCCCCAGCATTTATGAAAAGAAGTTTCATAATTTTTTTTCACGCTAGACCCAGATTCCGTCAAAGTGTTCCTTTTGTTAAACATGGATCCACTGTACATTTTTTCTTCTTCAAAATAGTAGTGGCAAAGTTAATTAAGTATTAATTATCTCACTGTCATCTTTAAATTATAGTTTAAGTTATGTTTCCTCTCTTTTCACATTGATCTCCCACGTTGGTCAGCGATGGTATAATTATATATGGAACGATATGTCAAACAGAATCTTCCTCTTCTGCATTATATTTAATTTCTTTTCAAAGGAAAAGGCATTAATCAGCCATAGGAAACTAAATATTCTCTGGAGCTAAAAACTGCATGAGATTTGACTAAACAGGCAAAGCATAATTACGACACTAGATTCTAGCTGATTATACTCGCATGCAACAAAGTGAACCTTCTCTTTATATATCTTATGGTATGATTTGATATGAATAAAATAACTAATGTTAATAAAGTGAAAAAGAAGGCCATCACAGAGGATGGCCAAACAAGAAAGAATTAAATAAATTATATATATATATATATGCTTGAATATGTTGTAAATTTTTTCTTACACCAAATATGTTTTTAATTAGTTTCATAAAATTAGGATAAATAAATTTGTAGTCACTCAAATTTAAAACAGTTTTTATAGTTTCTATAATTTGAAAAACTCGTTTTAGTTATTATGTCTAATTTCATTAGTAAATCTATTAAGTATTGTCATACAAAATTTAACTACTAATTTTTTTATTAATAAAAATATCATATTTAAGTATTATAACGATCCGACAAATTATTATGTTTATTACAGTTTAGCAACTAAGCACTTAAAAACATAATTATAATCTAGTATAAGATTATCATGTAGGCAATTCTTAGATATTCACGTAATAATATATATATATAAGGAATATAGATAACCGTAAACATAAAAAATTTGTTGGTAAAATTACAACCAAATCATGTACTTATACATATACAAATACCAAACTACAAAACATAAAGTTTTAGATCGTCGATCAAGCAATAACTATTTATACATTGCATCAAAGTTACTCAACAAAAGAACAAGTCATCTCCTTCATGAAAAATCCTCAACAACCACTCCAAACTTAATCATTCTCCATTCCCATAATAATCTAGTTATTGCAATCCAACAACATGAAAAAATAAGGGTAAACTTATATATATAAAGAAATTAACATAATGTAGAAGCAATATGTTCAATTTTTGTTCTTTTTGCTCTCTGTTTGTTGAAGACCCTCTTCATCTCTTTCTAATGTGCCCGATGGCATTTAATACTTGGTTAGCTGTTGCTAATTGGTTGGAGGTTGCGGTGGTCTTTCCAAATTCTTTAATTTCTCTTTATTTATATTGGACGAATCTTGGTATATATAAAAAACATTCTCACTTTTTGCGGGTGGTTTGGGTTTCTGTTATCTGGTCACTATGGCTTCATCGAAATGTCATTATCTTTCAACAAGGTACTACAGATTGCAAGGAAGTGTTAGATAATATTAAATTGCGTTCATGGAAGTGGATTAATAGTTCTGTCCCTGGGTGTTCTTTTAGTTACACAAGTTGGTATTATAACCCGAGTTTGTATTTCTCATAGTTTCTTTCTAGCCTGGATTCTAATTTTGTCTATGTGTCTCTTGTAATGGGTTGGAGTACTCCTTGTACTCCCTTTAATTTAAATTTCTTTTGCTTATCAAAAAAAAAATATGTTCAATTTAACATCACAAATCAACTTACCAATTTCACAATATATCAGCATAGTCGTGTAATATATCAACTCAACATTCAACAAATCACATATTCATATAGCCACCAAAGAATATATTATACAACCAATCAACATACTAACACAATAATTTAGTAACATAAATCTTCAACTTAGTAATATAGACAGACCATATTATATAGTAATATACTAAGAAATCTTTTATAACACAGGTAAGTAGTCTATACCAACTTTCATACATTATAATTTTATTTTAATTATAGTGATATACCAAATTATATTTTAACTTTTGGTGTCTTTAATTTTAAGTAAAAATTAAACTAATAAATTAGGAATTGCAATATACTTAAAATAATGAAAATAAGGCCTTAGTGAAATAGTTTATGTTAAAACGGCACTTTCTTCAAACAATTATCATTAGAAATTTGGTCAAAACATATCATAAAGTACCATTCACATTATGTTATTTTTGATATTTATTTCATTTGCCTATTCACCCACGTTTATAAAATTAGAGTTATTTTTTTCGAGTAATTAAATTTCTTGATGAACGATCTCTTAAATAATGAGACTCGCGTCTTTCTTAACTTTTTTAAAATTTAAAATTTAGTTATTTTATACTAATTATTTTTTTTCTTGAAAGTTTATTTTTCTCCTTTCAATTTATACTTTTCTTATTTTATTTAAATTAAAAAATTCATGTAATACTTGAGATATTTACTAGGACATTAATATATGATACTGTATAGCTTCGTTTTATTTATTTCTTAATGAAAGAATTATTAAAAAATCATATTAGGTATGATTTTTAGGCTAATTATTATAAAAGTTAAAAAAATTCATATATGATATAATAAGAGAAGTTAAAAAAAATGTTTGCTCATTAATTTTCAAAATGTACAAAATTAACGATATGTATAAAGTTGTATTGATCAAGTTAAAAAAAAAAATATCTCTATATATATATATAAAGCTTTTACCCATGTTAAATATTAT